TACATACATAAAGAATATTTAATAGGAATAGAATATATTACAGAAATATTAGGATTATATAATAGAAATGAAAAGAATATATAATAGACATATATCATACACATATAACAAAAATAGTAAGATTATATTGTTTGCAGTAAATATTAGGGTATTTTCATTTGGGAATCCAAACTCTGAAAAATCATAGGATTTGTATTTGCTTGAAGATGTCTGTAAAAGATACATTTACAAATTGCAATTAACATTGATTTATTTGCACATAACTTAAATAATAGAGTTAAATTTTGTGTGTTGGTAAAGAAATTTCGATCTATTTATTTATTTTGTTTTATATTATTTTTATTATCATAATTTGCCGTGGAGCTCTGGCCAGACATCAATAAATTATTTATCAGCTGACTGACCAACATACTTAACGCTCTTTTCTTATTTTCTGTTTTGTTTATTATTTATTTTGTTGTATTTTTGCTATTTGTTATTTACCAACTTTATGAACTGATTAACATATGTGTGTGAAACGAACTTGATATTTCTATGGATCGTTAAATCGTTAGAAAATGTATAACAAAACGAGAGCAAATCAAACTCAATGAGAAACTCTCTGTTGGTGTGTGTGTACAGTTGATAATTAGTATATTGCGTGTGTGTGTGTGTGTGTGCTTGACACTGTCGCACATAGTTAAGGCACTTCGCTCAGCTAACGATAACGATATATAGTAAAAGTTTAAATTTTCGCCTTGATTTAAATATTTTAACTGCACTACATGCGGTTCGGTTCGGGGTTCGGGATTCCGGGTTCAATGCGTTGCGGTTCGCTGTTGGCAGGAATGACAGAAGATGTGAGCCGTTGTTCACATAAATTTACACTTGTGGTTTAATACGCCAAATTCTCGCGCTCTCTCTCTCTCACTCACTCTGTGTGAGTCTCCGATTCCAATTGCAACCAAAAAGCCATTGGTGTGTGAGTGTGTGTGTGTGTGTGTGTGTTTGATGTGATGCATATAATTTTATTGCACAGCATAGGCAGGACGGGCAGTGTACGGCGTACGATGTACGGCGGCCTGTCCGGCATTCATTGAGGGCAGAACGCTGTGGTTTTATTATTTACAATTACGATTTCATTGCATTTCTTTGCGTTGCGAATTCTTTTATATTTTTATAATTTACACTTGATACGAAAAACAAGAGCAACATTTTTTTGATACATACATTTATAATTTGATTATCTGATGCCTATCGCAGTTAATGAAAAACCAAAAAGAATAAATAGATTACAAAATGCGAGCAGCGGCAATTGCAAATTGTTGTGCAGCTGCCACACACACAGACACGGACACAGACACAGGCATTCACACTCACACAGATGTAGTCCCCCTCTGCATGGCTGCAACACTCAACATTCAACATTCAGCACAAAAATTGTTTTGGTGTTATTTTAATTTAAAGGTTAACCGCAGCGTAATTTGTGGCATAAAATATAATTCGTCTAGTGTGCGCGCTGCTCTCGCGCTCGCTGCAGAATGAAAAAGTCAAGTAAAAATCAAAATACAAATGAAAATCAAAATAAAAATGCAAATGCAAATAAAAATAATAAAATTCAAATAAAAGTGCAACGAAAGCAAATGGCATTCGCGTTCGACATTCGCCTCCGTTTGCCACAGTTGCAGTTCGCCATTTGTGTTTGGCTCTGCGGCTGCATTTTCGATTTGGCCTTAAATTGTTTTCAGCTTCTTTTTTTTTAGTGTCTTTTCGATTTTGTTGGTTTTATAGTGCACAATTCTCACATTTCTCATGAGTCTTGCCTATTGGCAGTTTAACAGTTCATAGGCAGGTCGTATAAATATTATTCGAGCTCTATAAATTGAAGGGAAGCCATTGAACAAGATATGGCAAATATTTTACAAAATAAATATATTATAAATAAATATAAAAATTTCTTGAAAATATTATAATATAATTTAAAGTACCTATAAAACATATAAAGAGTATATTAAAAAATATTAATATTTAAAATACAGTTGTAATAAATTCTATTATTATTTAAAGTGCAATGAAATCAAT